TTTTCAATGGCTGGGGCAAGAGCAGGCCTAAGCAGGAATCCTGGGACTCCATTGGTGTCTCCCACATGGGAGGCAGGGCCCAAGCACTTGGGTCCTCTTTGATTCCTTTTCCAGGTACATTTCAAGGGAACTGCGCTGGAAGTGGAACAGCTGGGACAAGAACCAGTGCTCAAATGGGATGCTGGTATGGCAGGTGGTGGCTTGATCTGCTACACCACAACACCAGCACCAAAGTTCATGTTTTTGACAATAGGAGCCTAAAACATATTTAGTCCAGCATGTAGCCCTCTATTTTATTTATATACTTGCATGAGCCTTAACAATATTGTAAGTGGACCTGAATTTGCTAGCATTTCCACAATACTATTTTGTATGCGATCTGTAAATGTGACTGTTTTCTTTGGTTTCATAATACTTTGTAAGTACAACTATTATCATATTTCCAAGTGACACTTTCTTCCATCACCACAAATTTTTCCTTTACTGAGGTAAAAGAAAACTGGGAAAAAAGAGATCTTTTCTCTGTTTCTTCCTTCTGTGTGTATATTGATGGTAGCATAATAATTTGTGAACAAAATGCAATCGTTTTCTCATTTGCCAATGCTCTTCTCATTTTACTGTTTTTAGTTTCTGAAGCTTATTCTTGAACGTTCACTTTGTTACTAGTGTAATGTTAACGGTGTGCTGCTTTTCAACGTCACTCCTCAGCTCTGCACTCCCCAACTGGAATAAATCCCTGTTCAGCTGACGTTTGAAACATGCCAGGCTTCAGTCCTCAGCCCTTGTAGAATTTTGCAGAAGATGACACCAGTACAAGGTGTACAAGGATGATACTCACAATTACATAATAATACAGCCACAAGCAAGCCTTGGCATTATATGCTACACATTGCATGGGGTAGTTTGTATTAATTGTATAAGTTACTGTTCACCGTTAACCAGCACAGTGGAAATCATTATTTCCCTGCTGAAGCTGATGAGTTGGCACAACTATGGCTAACATATCTGGGATACACGTGCTGGTATATATCCTTAAATCCCTCATTATCTCTTCTGTTACACTCTTTCTTATCACTTCTTACCAAAATGCATGATACAAAATTCCGATCCACAAACACCCTGGTCTTTAACACAAATTGGGTCAAAATAAATCAAACAGCAAGCAGAACATTTAAATTTCTTCAGTAACTAGCATAATAGTTGTAACAATTCTCCCCCACTTGGAGATCACTTGAAGATAAGAATCACAGGATAGACATTAAAGCTTTGGTGTGCATACTGCTCACTGTTGGTGTTTCTACAGATCACGGGACCCCGCCCTAGGAGATTCTGCTGAGCTAGGGTAAAGGTAGAATTGAGGGCATATATGTTGGCCGGTGCCGCGGCTCACTAGGCTAATCCTCCGCCTTGTGGCGCCGGCACACCGGGTTCTAGTCCTGGTTGGGGCGCCGGATTCTGTCCCGGTTGCCCCTCTCCCAGGCCAGCTCTCTGCTGTGGCCCGGGAGTACAGTGGAGGATGGCCCAAGTGCTTGGGCCCTGCACCCCATGGGAGACCAGGAGAAGTACCTGGCTCCTGCCTTCGGATCAGCGCGGTACGCCAGCCGCAGTGCGCTGGCCGTGGCGGCCATTGGAGGGTGAACCAACAGAAAAGGAAGACCTTTCTCTCTGTCTCTCTCTCTCACTGTCCACTCTGCCTGTCAATAAAAAAAAAAAAAAAAAAGAGGGCATATATGTTAATAATTGCACCAGATAATTCTGATGTAATAATCCCTGAACTACACTTTGAGAATGTGTTACTGGAAGAAAGCGGCCTAAACAAAGAGAAAAGAATAATTTAATTCTTAATAAAACCTTTATTAGAATGGTCCATGTACAAGTTCAGTTCCAGGAGTCTCCTTGGTCTCCTCAGTCAGTCAAGTGCAAGCTATGGCTGGCCCTCAGATCAGCGTCAGTGCTGCTCAGAGGATCTCTGGCTGCACTCCACAGCCGCTGTCGTCGGGCAGCTGCAGAACCCAGGGAGGTGTCACAGAACTCCTGGACATCTGGGTCACTGGGCTGTGGTGGCTCTTGGCTTGCTGCTCTCATTTTGTTTTCAACTTGATCTTTCTCTTCCTCTTACAGAACAACTTGATAATCAGTATCAGTTCTTAGGTTACAGAGAAATGTCTGGCAGTGTAAATAGAGGAAAGGCCACTTTTAAGCAGCAGAAACACTAAAAAACAATGACTTGTTGGCCATTGGCTTTGAGGCTGAGGCTTCTTGACCTTTCTGGATTTTGTTCTCAAGATGTTGGCAAGACTCTCTCCCTTGGGTATGAGATTGGAGAAATCTCTCAGGGGAAGTTACCATCCTCCAGGGAGAATAAACATCTATAGATTTTGAAAATTAGAGTTCCCCCAAAAATTACATGATCATTTTTTCAAATTAATGTGATACCTGTTACTGAGAAATCCCTTCAGTGTACTTGGAGGTCCCGGGTAGCTTCTCAGTGCTTCATTCTTGATTAGACAAGCAAGGGCTGCTGGTTAGTTGAGAAAACCTGTGCCATAAAACATACACCTCTCTCCCTTCAAAAGAAAAATAATAATAACCAAAAGAAGAATTTAAAACAGAAGACAGAATCAATTTCGAAAAAGAAGAAAAAATCTTGCAATAATGAAAATAATCATAATGTTCAATGATACATAACTTCTCTATACAGCGGCTTCTCTATACTCTGTGGTGTAGTAGGTTAAGCCTGTGCCTGCAGCACTGGCATCCCATATGGGTGCTGGTTCAAGACCCGGCTGCTCCACTTCTAATCCAGCTCCCTACAAATGGCCTGGGAAAGCAGCAGAAGATATTCAAAGTGATTGAGCCCCTGTACCCGTGTGGGAGACCAGGAAGAAGCTCCTGGCTTCTGATTGGGTTGGCCAGGTCTGGCCATTGAGGACATTTGGGGAGTGAAGACTCATCACTTTGTCTCTCCTTCTGTCTTTTTTTAAGATTTATTTATTTGAGAGGCAGAGTTACACAGAGGGAGAAGGAAAGGCAGAGAGAGAAAGAGGTCTTCCATTCACTGGTTCACTCCCTAGTTAGCCACAATGGCCGGAGCTGAGCTGATCCGAAGCCAGGAGCTTCTTCCAGGTCTCCCATGTGGGGGCAGGGGCCCAAGGACTGAGCCATCGTCTGCTGCTTTCCCAGGTCACAGCAGAGAGCTGGATTGGAAGTTGAGCAGCCAGAACTCGAACCGGTGCCCATAAGGGATGCTAGCACTGCAGGTGGTGACTTTACCCACTACGCCATAGCACCGACTCCAATAAATAAATCTTTTAAAGAAGGAAATGTATATATACTAAAAATGAAAACCTAAATTATGGACTATAGTATTGTATCTACAAATTGATTGTAAACTTCATAGATACAGTATAATGAGTATAATCTATAAGAATATGGTGAAATAAAGATCTAAATTGGTAGTTATTTTTTTCTAAATTAGCCAAGGCAAGTTACTTTTTTTTTTTTTTTTTTTTGGCAGGCAGAGTTAGTGAGAGAGAGAGAGAGAGAGACAGAGACAAAGGTCTTCCTTCCATTGGTTCACCCCCACAATGGCCACTACAGCTGGAGCTACGTCAATACAAAGCCAGGAGCCAGGTGCTTCCTCCTGGTCTCCCATGCGGGTGCAGGGCCCAAGCACTTGGGCCATCCTCCACTGCACTCCGGGGCCACAGCAGAGAGCTGGATTGGAAGAGGAGCAACCGGGATAGAACTGGCGCCCCGACCAGGACTAGAACCCAGGGTGCCGGCGCCACAGGCGGAGGATTAGCCTAGTGAGCCACAGTGCTGGCTAAGGAAATTACTTCTGTGGAGCAGGAATCAAGGATTGGGAAGATGGGGAAGGGGCAGAAACAGCAAATTGCTGTTTGCTTTTTGGATTAAGGAAGGGAGGGAAGTATGTTTACCTTCTTAGATCTGTACCTATGGAATACATGACTTCTGTTAGCTTTATATTACTATAAAGGTTAAATATATAGATTTTATATATTTATTTATATTGAAAGGAAGAAAGACAGCGTAGGGGTTGCTCCCATGTACTGGTTCATTCTTTCAATGCCTGCCATGGTTGAGCCTGGTCCAGGAGCCTGGAATCTACTCAAGTTCTGCCATGTGAGTGGCAGGAAGCCAGCTGTGGAGCCAGCATCTACTGCCTCCCAGCGTGCACTGGCAGGAAGCTAGAGTGCAGAGCAGAGCCAACACTCAAAGGCACACCCTGGGATATGGGGTGACGGCATCCCAACCGGCATCTTAAGTGTTAGGCCAAACACCTTCCCACTGTCCATTTTTGTCTCTTAAGTCTGTGTATCTATGTGATCTTACTAAGATTTCTGTATATTACTTGATAATAGGTAATTGTCACATTATGAAATATTTTGCTGATATGCAAGAAACTGAAAATCTTCATAATACGTGTATTACCTGAGTGATAAAAGTGTCCTCATAGTCCATTTATCTGCTTGTGAAGTTATGACAAACTCCCTGGCCCCGGGCAGTTGACAGACCATGGAACGCACTTGCTGCAGTGCGGGAGGCCAGGCGCCCAGATGAAGGTGCTGGCCTGTGTCTGTGAGGGCCTCGCAGCAAGCAGAACATCCAAAAACTGCCTCAGGCTTCCCTTCGGGCTCTGCTCTCAGGACACAGTCGCCTCCCAAGGCCTCGCTTCTCGGTACCTCCACAGGAGGATTTGGTTTCAGCCTGAACGTGGGAGGCACACATTTGTTTCTTTTCCCAGTCCTTATATTCTTATCTGTTTTGATAACATTCAGCTGAATACACTAAGAAATAGTTGACTAACTGAAGTTAATGTAAAAGCATATATATTTGGTGGTATCCTATTAACAATGGGTGACTTAAGAAACAATATGTCCTGGACAATTTTCAAACAAAAAGATAGTATAAATGGTTACAATATTTTAGTTTATTTATTTAATTATTTTAATTTAATTTTCATTATTTTATTTTAGGGACCCAAGCACTTGGCCCATCTTCAACTGCTTTCCCAGGCCGTAGGCAGAGAGCTGGCTCAGAAGAGGAGCAGCCAGGACAGGAACCAGCACCCATATGGGATGCCGGTGCCACACGTGAGGCTTTGCTTACTACACCACGGTGAGAGGCACACATTTCAAGCACAGTAAGTGTGATATTGTGGTTCCTCTTCTTATGCAGTGCTTGTTTATATGGAGTCTAACAAAGCAGGACACTGCAGTGGGAAAAATTTTAGTGAAACTTGAAGTCCTCTGGGAGTTACTGAGCGTCAGAGTCGTGTGCCATCTATTTTGAATGCCATAGAATACCTGTCTGTACACAATTTCAGTATGCGAAATCCTACAGAGTCTGCTGTCTGTAACAGCAATAATTATGTGGTGCACTTTGAATATAGGTTGTTCTTTATTTTCCATTAATGACTTCTAGATACACTGTAAAAGATAACCCACCCTCTAGAAATAAACTGGGATCCCAATTACATCACACAGATCCAAGGAAGAACAAATAAAATTTAGTTTATAGGCACTGCTAGTGCAACAGTTTCTTGGAGTCCTTTGGTAAATTATTAAAATATTAATTATATGGAAATTTGCAGTAAAGTACAAACAAGAACCAAGTTGTTTTTCCCCTCAGGACAGTGTAAGTCCTGAGGAACACATTTTGGCTGTTTGTTTTTCTATATTCTAGATTTGGGACTGAGGGAGGGGAAAAGTGGAAGTGGTTTCCCATACTTGATGAGGTTTGCTGATGAATTCCCACAGCAGAGTTCTTCCTTTGGTTAATAAGATGTGCTCACTTCCTCTGAGAATACACGGTCTTTTCCCTTTCACTGCTTTTGTTGTCAACTCTCATCAGAAATAAATAGTCTAGATTAAAATTTCAGAATTGCATTAAGAGGAAAAAACCATAAAAAATAACTTCTAAGATGTATTAGAGTAAGCACTTTATGAATGACTTTTACATGAATACTGACAATTCTTATAAGACTTTACAGATTACAACACATAATCAATCATATATTATCTCACGTGATCCCATCAAAATTCTTTGGCAGACAGACAGTCATTTTATAGAGAAGTTAAAAAATGTTCTAGAAATTAGTTCATCAAAGTTCCAGAAATGCTTGATAAACAGGAAGCAGGATCTTTGTCATATTTGTAACTTCTCACACCAAGTCCAGTACTTGTTAGCCTGAATTCTTTTTCTCTTCATGAATTAAGAGGCCAATTATGCTTCAATTGAAAAAAGCAAGGGTGAGCCAGCGCCACAGCTCACTAGGCTAATCCTCCACCTTGCGGCGCCGGCACACCGGGTTCTAGTCCCGGTCGGGGCGCCGGATTCTGTCCCGGTTGCCCCTCTTCCAGGCCAGCTCTCTGCTGTGGCCCGGGAGTGCAGTGGAGGATGGCCCAAGTGCTTGGGCCCTGCACCCCATGGGAGACCAGGAGAAGTACCTGGCTCCTGGCTTCGGATCAGCGCAGCACCAGCCTTAGTGGCCATTTGGGGGGTGAACCAATGGAAGGAAACCTTTCCTCTGTCTCTCTCTCTCTCTCTCTCTCTCTGTCTAACTATGTCAGTCAAAAAAAAAAAAAAAAGGCAAGGGTGTGTGATGTATAAATGAGGACTTTGAATAGGTAACTACATATCTTCTGAAGCTCAAATGAACTATCTGGGACCCAGAAGTGGGCTGTCATTATCACTTATGACTTCTCTCTATACATAGAAAAACCTATCTGGGAAATATTTCTGAGATTTTATTTTTACTGCTGATAACTGAGACATTGATATTAGTAATAAAATAATAATGATAACAATGACAGTGACAACTATAAAGATGATGGTGATCAGGGCTGGTGCGTGGCTCACTTGGTTAATCCTCCGCCTGCAGTGCCCACATCCCATATGGGCACCGGGTTCTAGTCCTGGCTTCCCTTCTTCCAGTCCAGCTCTCTGCTGTGGCCTGGGAAGGCAGTGGAGGATGGCCCAAGTGCTTTGGGCCCCTGTACCCGCATACGAGACCAGGAGGAAGCACCTGGATCCTGGCTTCAGATGGGCGTAGTTCCAGCTGTAGTTTGGGGGGTGAACCAACAGAAGGAAGACCTTTCTCTCTGTCTCTCTCCCTCTCACAGTCTAACTCTGTCAAATAAAAAAATAGAATGAAAAAATTTTAAAAAAAGATAGATGGTGATAAGTAACAATTGTTTACCATATGAAAAGCACCAAATGTTGTGTATAACTTACATAATCCTCATTACAATTTTATGAGACCAGTGCTAGTGTTATAATCGTTTTCAAAGAAGGAAAAAAATGCAGATCAGAGGTTAAATCAGTCACACAAAGGTAAGGCCCTAAAAAATGAAACACCAAGCAATTTGGCAGCAAAACTTTTCCATGCTAGTTTACTCTGTGTCCATGCCTCCTTTGCACTCTCAGGTTTCCACTGAGTTGGTTTCAGAGTGTAGAAACAACTGTTCCCTGTCAAGAGTATGTTGCACGTTTAGAAACAACTTCTCATTAATCTCACCGTAGCTGTGGTACCAAGTAAATTCCTACACAAAACACACAAAATTAAGTAGAATTTCTCATGCCCATTTGGATGCCTTCTTAGGTCATCCACATCCATGTGAAAACTGATAGTTTCAATAAGCAGGGCCACAGGTAGGCACTAGTTAGTTAGGAAGCAATTCTGAGCACTGACCTGCCCAGGAGACTCCGGACTTCAGAATATAAAGCCACCTGTCTCAGTTGCAGATGCTGGTAGGGAAGAGGCAAGCTGCACTAACCAGTTTTGGAAACCAGCTCTGTCAGCCACAGACACCCGCCATGTAAGCGCCACAGACCCAGATGCCATCGTGGAGAGAAGCCAGGAAAGCATTAGGAAACTGAAACTCTGTACGACTAAGACATTTTCCTATTTGGCACTGAACATCACACAAAGGAGGCTGTTTCTATGTTATCAATTTTGCACATGAAAGTACTGAAAATTGAATTCCCAACCTCTTTAATCATTGTACAAGAACTTGCAAGAAAAAGACTTGATGAGTTCAAAACAAAATGAAGGCCCTGTAAGTCCATTAAACACTAACGGTTTGGATTGAATAAAGTTAAAAAAAATTATAAATTTCATGGGGCCAGTTGATGATGGCCAACAACGAACTATCCCTCTGACATCTTCTACAATTAGCTATATCCTTGCCTGTGTTTATACCCTTGCTGGCATCTACTAGTCTGTGTACGTCTCCCCAAGTTACAGTATGCTCTTCTATCATAGTCAAACTCTCATCTCCTTTCTGTCTTTTTTGTATTTCAAGTCAGTTATTTCTATGGTAGTCTGAGAAATTATAGTCAGAGAAGAAAATCCTGCAGAGTCCGTTTTTTATTGCAAAAAGAGATAACTGAAGGCTAAAGTTGTTGGTGAGGAAATGGGATACATCACAGAAGAGGAAAAATAAACCCAGGGAAAGAAACACTTGCAAATGGAAAGCAAAGGAAACTGGAAAGTCACAGAGGCAGGCAGGAATGAAGAGCAGACACCCAAGGTTTACCAAGAGATTAGAAGAGAGGGCTGGGGGAGGCAGGTCAGAAGCCCTTGCTAGACTTAGATGTTCTTCAGTGCAAAGGATACATACATAGTTGGAGATGGAGATTTCCTTCTAAAATTAAAAGCAAGCCCCGGGTGTTGATCAAAGGCTACCCAATACATTTTCCAAAAAGTATTCTGCAATTTGGAGACCTCACCATAAAGGGGAGATCATGTTCTCATTAACCAGCCACAGTGAAGTAAGCCATACTTTTGAATGTAGATGTGGATGTGCACTGTTAAATCCGGTCATTTTTACCTTGCGCATATTGTTACTGGATAAATACTTACCCATGTACAATGGCAAAATGTATTATCTGAAGCTGCTCCCTGTGCTCCACCAACCTATTTTTGCTCCTGAAGACAAATCTTTATGTGACCAGTTATCTCCACTACACTCTCCTGGTGGGCCCTGTTAAAGACAAAATTGCACCAGCCACGAAGAGCAGCCTGAAGTAAATTGCATTCTGATACTATTGCCAGCAGCAATGTTTTTGGATACCCAGTTCCCAGGAGACAAAGGGTGGGAGAGATACTAGAGGCTGAGCTGGGGGCATCCTAGGCTGGCTACATTTGCTAATTGGACTTACCTAGAGGAACCTAAACTTCCTATTATTTGCATGACAGGGGTTATGCCCTAATGAGACTCCTAACTTCCCACAGGAACTTTGAGATAGTGATATGGTCTCTGTCATCCATGCAGTTTGCATTTCAAAGAGATAGTCCTCAGCATTCTAATAAATTCATCCCTAAGTTGCGAAATTGGCAAGTGTTTGGGAGAAAATTTATCTACATTTCAAGGGAGAAGGGAAAGGGTTAACAACTACCATAGAGGATGAAGCAATTGCAACAGGGTCAGAGGGATAGAGAAGCACCCTGTGGAAAAGCAAAAGGACACAAAAGAAGTAGTTCTTGTGCTTCTCTGCACTGTGGGTTTGCTCAAGTGAACCTGCAGGAGCAAATAAGAAATTGATTGGCTCCATTTTCTGGGTTCAGTATATGAGTCTTCCGTAAAGGCCTACACTTTCTTCCATTTGTCAGCATTAGAGAACAATGTCTATGTATGAAGAATGAAAAGGAAAGAGGTGAAATAAGAAAGGAAGAAAAGAAGAATGAGGGAAAAAAGAAAAAGATGGGAAATTATTTTTAAGGTTCCCCTTTTCTTCCAAATGACAAATCAAGTCTTTTCATTTTCTCTCGTGAGGAGTGTTTCATTGTCCATAGAATTCTAACCTTGCTATTCAACTAATTACAACATTTTGAGACAGGGATTATTATCACACCCACTTTCTGGAAGCAGAATTTTAAAACCAGGGAAAGAGCAACACTTGCTAGTAGACACAAAACTAGCAACTCGTGGAGGCAAGCACAAAGAGCAGACTCTTGGACTCAGACTCCCATGATTTAATATTAGCTTTCCCTGTCTCACCAGGCACTGTATTTCCATTTTGAAATGGCAATGATATTAGATGAGAAAAAGTAGCCAATCCTATTTTTTAGAGCGACAATTCTGAAGGAACTCATGGACTAAGGCCCTCTGCTGCCTTCACTACTAATCTCAGAAGTAG